ATTATCATTACTATACGATTCTAGAATTATTTAAATAATTTTTAACTATACTATTTACAGGCATGTGGAATAATCGTTACTATCCACTAACGACTGTTTTAACCACGTCAAGTAGATCAGCAGCTCATGATATGTTGGTCAGTGGTGATGCAGAGGGCTACCTGAGACTTTTCAGGTACCCTTGTACTAGTGCTAAAGCCGAATACGTTGAAGAAAAGGTGTACAGTTCTCTAGTAGCCTCTGCCAGATTTCTGTACAACGATCAGAATGTCGTCACTGTCGGTGGAACCGATGCTGCGCTCATGCTTTGGGAACTAGTCGATGAGTAGACAAAAAGACTACCTCTTGTCATAGATTTTGCCTTTGTCTTCGCAGTCTGGTGGTTAAGCTATTCTTGCAATCTTCACAAGGTTGCGTTGATCCGTTCCACTGTGGAACTTTTTTAATACCGATGAGCGAACAGAACAAATGTTTATCTCATAATTGTACTGGAATCAATTTAATAACGAACATCCAGCAATTCATCCCTAGTGAAAGGTTTGAACGTCTGAATCGGTAATTAGCAGATTCTATTAAACTTGTTTGATTTACCACATATGTTTTGTCCGATGATGATGAGCTCCTAGCTTATTATTTAAAATCGAAACTTAAAAGCGTCAGACTTAGCCGATACGCATATTTGTAACTTTACATTTGTGTTGGTAAATTTTCCAGAGACAGGAAGACATTTTTAACGTTTTAAGTAAAATTTCGTACAACAATAACACGATTCACGATGTCCCCTCTGAAGCGTTGGAAGAAGTAGTCTGATATTTATCAGGGATGAATATTTACTGTTTCAACGAAGGGAAGATAAGATCTACTAAAAATATACTGTAAAAACAAACCGCTCGAGTGTCTTGAAATTGTGTCTTGCAAGTGCAGTACTGTTTTTAAAGCCTGTTGTCACTTCATTGCATTTTATGAATTTCTCCGATGCATATCCTCCCATGAGATAATCCGTCCACGATGTTTTTAATTATTCTTGGACTCGATGTTTAACCAGGATCTATCATACTACGTGTAAAGGCGAAAATTTCAGTTTATCGATGAGAATACTCACGAAAAATAGGGATCTATCTTCCCTTCCTCCAATTGTTTTGCCATTGTCGTGCTACGACTTCTTGTACACATTTGATGATAACAGCGACAAATGATAATGTTATCACGCTACAACGATGCAGTACATTACTAAAGACATAAAGAAAACGATACAAGTAGGCATACGTTATATGTGTATCTCGTAGGAATATAAAAAAGAAAGAAGCAAAAAGATAAAAAAAAAAAGGAACAACATGCGCACGTTTGAGCGCGTGCATTTTTCGGGACGCTGGCGTCCCTTGGTAGATTTTAAGCAATGGAAATAGATTTAAAAGAGAAATGAAGATGAAGACGTGAAATATTACGAAAAAAAAAAAAAGAAAAAACACGCACCCCTGTATTGGAACGACGATCAATTTGTTTTTCTTCATCGTTTCGAAGATTTTAGAGAAAATGCTGTTGCGGGACAACGCGTCTCTCCATCGATTCTTTCTTTTGTTCATATCCATTTCTAGAAAAAAGAAATTTATGAAGTATAGGGAAAAATATACAGAGTTTAAACGACATGTTATTATTAAATAAATATATATTATATATGTTATATATTATATCATATATATTATATATGTCATATGTATTGTATTATATATATAATATATACGTATAAATATATATACACATAGTAGTAGATGCAAACGATAATACGGGAACCTCTCATGTTAGCAAGCTATGCTCGGGATCGTCACTGCCATGGCATCGAGTTCGAAATTTTTTCACGACCTGTATACTTCAAAATATCAATTTTCTCTGTGGGTGAGCTCGCATGTTGGGATCTATTTAAAACACTGATCACAGTGAGCCCTTATCTAAATATTCCTTGGAACTTATTTTTACCTTCTGTTCTTCTATTATTGTACATCAGGCTTCTAGCGTAACTCGTTTGATTGTATCAGTTATCTTTTGAAGAAAATTGGAGAATCTGAATTTCATGACCATTTTGCGAACAATTTTGAAATACCTGCGAATGCAAACGAATTCATGTATACTATAAGAATTATTGTAAAAAAAAAAAGTGTTTCAATCGCAGGCAGAACTGAAGTTTGGTCTTCGATGCGTCTTGAAACAAAAAACGAAAAGGATTCAAACGATCCCTCGAATCTTTAGCATAAAATCGTAACAGTGTAGAAAAGCTATCTTATTAATTAATAAATTCTGCACATTAGATACAACACAATTTAATCATTACCACCAATTATTGAACATGCTTCAAAAACGACGAACAATTCTTTTAGAACAGACATATGAGAGTAAAGGATACACAGCTAGTGACTCAAAGCGATTCTTTATTATTAATTTTATTTCTTACACTATGAGTGCTCCTGGTAAGCGTCTAAGTGGTTCATTTTTTCATCCTCTCAAACGTAATATGGAAAAGTAATTTGCGCCCCAAGTCGATTTGTGCTAATTTATTTTCGCATCGCTCTAAACTGTCCACATTTCCTTTCCTCCATCAGAACGTCTTTTAATTCGTATAACGTATTGCATAAAGGCGACGAACATTCAAAGGTAAAAAATTATGAACGTGTCGATCGCATTCGTGTTCGAGATATTCATGCGCAAAAGAGCCGAGGATAAATAATCGTGTTTACAATCCCATCAAGAAGAAAAAACGAATAAATAATTGTATCAGGAGAAAAACCAATTAAATTAAATATAACGGCTAAATAATTTTCTTATCGTATGTTTTCCAATTCTTCGCTGAGTTGTCTCTTATAATCGCTCTGTTTTATGAGATGCTACGCTTTGCATGTGACGGTTTATCATTTGGTTTCATCATCATTCAAACTGCAATAAAAGCTTGCGAAGTGAGTTTCTTTTTATAAACAGCACTTGGATGTAACACACGCTCATAGTTAATATTATAAGCGCATAAAAGACACTCGAACAGGAATGTTTCGTAGAGCGCGCGAGAAAGTTCCGAATCGAAAACGAAATTTCGTTTCGAGCTAAAAAGTGACTGTCGCGTGATTATTCCATTTTTCCTCCATGATATACTAGACTAGATAATACAAGAAGGAAAGCCGCCTGTACTTGTTCCGGAAGCTTTCGTCATATTTTTCTTTTTCTCTTTATTTTATCTTGACATTATTATTACTTTTTTCCCATTGCTTCTTTCTTTCATTTTATCGTTCTGAGGAACTTTTGTACAATCGCGAGTATACCATTTTAAAGATTCTTCTGTGTCTTCTCTGTATGTGTATGTATGTATGTGACTCATCTGTAACGAGTGACCATGCTTCAACGATATAATAATACTTTCGGCAACTCCGATCGTCCGGATTTTATTCCTTTCTCTCTCTCTCGTTCGCTCGTTCTTTCGTACTCTCTATTCAACAAATTCGAAGATTCTCGGCTTTATAAATAAATAACAACTATATGAAACAATACGCTCGGGTTTTCTAAAATTACATAAATTTACAAGTCTACAGTCTAAGGTTTCCAACCGACGTCTCGCTTTCCCGAGTTCACTCTCTCCATTTTCCTTTTGTCTCTTTCCTAAGTTTCTTCCAATCGATTCATCATTCGCACGCACCCTTTGTACAATTACTTTCGCATACTCACATAATTCTTTCATTCTCCTATTCTCCCTTGCTCTCTTCTTCTTCTCTAATTATGTCTGCAACCAAAAAAAAAGAAGAAAAAAATTGATCGGTTTCCTTCTCTTTCGCTCTTCCATTCTCTCTCCCTCTCTCTTTCTCTTTCTCTCTTTCTCTACTTTGTTCAATGTAATCCAACAGGCAACGAATTGATAGTGATTAAATTTAAAACAGTGTCTTTTGTCACATTATCAAGGGACATAGTCTGTAATATGGAAAATGAATCAGTTTCAAAGGAGAAATATTCGACAGCAAAATAACAGACAATGTCCCCTACCGATCAATTGATGTAATCAAAACAATAATAATAATAATTATATCCTTTCTTTCTTTTCTTCCAATTCAGGATGAGTTTCGAAGAGAACTGTTAGTGCTGGCTGTCCTGCTCCGTACTTTTTTAGTTTTAGTTTTAGTTTTAGTTTTTTCTCTTCTCTTCTTGTTTTATTTTTCTTTTTTTTGTACATAGGAAAGATGAGTATGGCAACGACACGACCGCAAGCACGGAACAGTTTTGTATTTTCGACGCACAACCTAAAATTCCTTTTCTTCGTTTTTTTTTATTATATCGTTTATCACGCATCCTTTCTTCTTTCTCTTTATTCCCATTTTTACAACATCGAAAGACACGGTAAAGCCAAAAAGTCAGTCTTCAGTCGACCAACCCGCTGTAATATTCGGGAACGTGCTCAGATAGCACAGCACAATGCAAAATGCTTGGTTTTGTTTAGGCACGTACTTAGAATTTGTTTCGCCCATCCGTCTTTTCAATTTTGCCACGATATTTCGTTTAACATTCTACGCTCTCAGGCACAGCCAGATATAGATACATTCGTACTATGTGTAAAGCGATACAATTTCTATCATGTACAGTGCTTAATTTTAGATCTTTTTTTCCCTTCTGTTCTTTCTGTTATTATTAATATTATTAATATTATTAATATTATTAATATTATTATTATTATTATATTATTATTATTCCTTCTCAAGTCTCATTCTCTAATGGAGCATCACACGTTGTGTCACATATAACACCTGGTAATAGTAATGGTCTCTCTTATATTTGAGATCAATTCTGATGCGCTAATACAAATTACATTACACTGAAACTCTCACCAGGTATCCTAAAAAAAGAACTATCCGTTTACTCGGTATAACTTGGAATAATTAAAAATCTTTAAAAAAGAAGAAGAAATGGAACGGTAGGAAAAAGGAGAACACGAATGAAACGACGTAGATTAATAAAACTACGTGCTAACGGTGGTCATTGTGGAAATCTAAAGATAAAATATCTTATTCGTTCACGAATACAAATTGTTTGTTCTTCTCTTATTCGTTTATACTTGTGGTTATACCATGTTTTCGTTAAAATTACCTATGAAATTTAGATATCCGGTACTACAAATTGGATTGTTTGATATTCATGTTTCAGGGCTACAATTTCTATATAACTCCCTTGGACGATAAGAAAAGCAACGAATACTTAGTGCCCGCTTAGGATATTCATGAGAAAAAAAGAAGAGTGGATGGAAAGAAGAGTGAAAACAGAAAAGGTCGACCAAGTAAATGGATAACCAAACAGCCCAAATTGTCTATATGGTAGCACCGTTTGTTTTTTACGCAGAGGGCATAAAAAATACCTATTTACGTGTTGTCCGAAGTCAATTCACAACATTGCCTTTCTGTTTGTTCTTTTTCGCAAGGACTCCTCGATCCATTTTCTGGTTCCTTCCATTCCTTGGTTTTTAAATCTTCTTTGCTTTCTTCCATATTAGTTCTTTCATTTAAATGGCTACTTAATTGATCGTCCTTAGTTGTTGATTGAGTATTCGATTCATTATCCTTTGTTAGTTCCTCTTTTGATTTACTTTCGTTTACAGAAATTGATTCTTGTGATATTTCTTCTTGCTTAACTTCCGTTGTTTTTTGATTCTCATTCGTAATAGATCTAGGCATTTCATTTACTTTTTTGGATCTCTTTGTATCTATTGTGTTAAGATCATCCGTTTCCAAATTCCGTTTCCGTGACGTCTGATTTTCAGTTGTTTTATTTTCGAACGTGCTGACTGTTGGTGGTATATTTGATTCAACCTGACTGTCCGCTTCAACTTTATCACTTTCTATATTGACATCCAGGTAACACATTTTTGAGGCATCTGGTGGTTGATTGTCGCTATTGTAACCAGGCGTATCATAACACGGAGTTGCACTAGGCGCATAAACGTTCTCTAATTGATCATACTGACTCATAGATTCGTTGCTTTGTTGACTAATCTCTGACATATTTCCCTCTTTAGTTTCTTCTTTTTTAAACAGTTTTTGCTCGTATTCCTTCTGCTCTAATTTTCTTCTCGCTTCATCTTTTCGTTCTTGTCGTTTTGAAGTATTTTTCACAGAATTATCCAGAGTCTCTTGTGATAGGCCAGCTTTGGTGAACAAATGAATCGGTCGTTGGAATCCTTTTGATGGATGTGGAGGAATTGATAGTACTTCGCATTTGGAAAAACCGACTTCAGTGGATAAGAGATATTGCGTGAAGTTGTGCGGCCGAAATTCAATACTCTGATAATTCTTGTATATTCGTTCCTGCAATAAGAAAGCAAACTGATGTATTTCTAGTATAGTACAATGAATGAATAGATTTTTCAAAATACGTAATGAAATACTTACTGTAAGATTCTTTTTCTTGCCATAGCTGCTCCAACCTTGAGGTTCTAATACTAAGACACCACCCGGGCGTAACTGTGCATACATACGTTTGAATGCTTGTTTTAAACCTGCATCTCCGAAATTCAAATGTATCCATTTAGTTATTGATAAACAGAGAATCGTATCGAATTGCGGCTGTTCTGTACATAACAAAGAGTCATCCTCGAGGACATAATTACCCTAAAAATAACTACAGTTAGTTTTCTTAAAATTTAACTATTTTATATAGTATATGCAATTTCATATCTTACCTGTACAAAAGTGACATTATAAGGAAAACCTTTGTGACTCTTATTCTTTGTGAAACCTGGAATATCAACTGGGCCATAATTGATTGGCATAGACATTGGGAAGAAGTTTACATCCTGGTGATCGCTGTCTTCATTACCAGCAGGGGACTGTACACAATTGACATAGTGTTTGATATTTTTTCTAGCTATATTGATGAGTATTCTATCAATGTCAATACCAGTTACACTGCGGGCAGAAAGATCTCTTGCAACAGAAAGAGTAATGTGGCCAATGTTACAACCAATGTCTAATACATCTTTTCCAATGAATAAATGTTTACGCTGTGCAAATACTGTCAGTCTTGTGTCCATTTCATTATGAGAATTGCGATATCCATAATACCTATTGTAATTTCCATACTGGTACCGTGCATCTTTCTCTCTGAATTTTGGCATTGTTTGTTTCTTTTTCTTGTCCTGACTTGGCCTATGCTGAGGTCTAGGCTTCCATGCTCCAGGTTGAGGAATTACAGGACTGACAATTTTGTCTTTAACATCCACTTTCCTTAACCTCTTGTCTTTAGGCTCCTCTAAACCTTTCAAACGTAATTTATTTTTATCTTTTTGTGGACTTTCTGGTTTTGACTCCTTAGGTTGATTAGATGAATTAGCTGGTGGTGAATTTAGTGGTGGTTGCTGCTGTTCTGCCTCAATATTCTCTGGAACATTTTGTTCTACAGATTCTGTCATATCAATGGCATCACAGTCTTTAATTTTAGTTTCAACTGAATCACTTATATCATTCCCAGAACCAGATGATGCTCGCTTTTTCTTTCTATTTCGTCGCTTGGAACCCTTTTTTGTGGGAGATATAAGTTGTTTCTCATATTCATCATTGTCATTGCAATTGCTTAAGTTCAAAGGATCACAGATATTTGGTGGAATTATGACTTCAATAACCTCTTTTTTGTGCTTAGGTGTTGGCAATGGGCTAGACTTAGGTGTAACAGCATTCATAGCTCTATTTATTTCCTCATCTTGCATACTATTTAAATTTAAAGGATCACATATGTTACCACCAAGCAAAAATTTTGTAGGTGGAATAATCACACCTTCCTTCTTTCTACGTTTATATGGTGGAAAGAATTTACCATTGCTACTAAAACTCTGCAAACGTTTTCTACCAAACTTAAAGTGACGACTGTCCTCATGTTTGTGCTTTTTGTGTGAGGTATTAAATGCCTTTCTTGATTTTTCATTTTCTTTTTTAGCAATATGACCTACTTTGGTAGTGCGATCAACTTGTGCAGATGACATCTTTTGGTATCTCTAAAACAATTAAAGTGAACAATAAATACACCACATTTGTATATTAAAAAATAATAAATATAATAAAAAATTAATAACAACCATAAATTGCAGAAATATTACACTATTGCATAAATAATATTCATTTAACATAATACATATAAATTCTTTATAATAAATTAAAACCTCACCAGTAAAATTTCAAGCTGACACGCATAAACGTTACGAAAAAACACGTAAAGTATAAAAGAAAAGACGTTACATTTCATTTTAAAACAATCCTCCTTTATTACACACTGAAGGATGAATGTATTATCACATAAGAGTTTGTTACATAAAATCATTTTTATGTTAAATTCATAAATTTAAAGGAACACTATTCTAATAGCTTAAACCAATTATTTGTCCCGCGAATTCTTTACGATCACGTATACACGACTCTCGACGTAAATTTATCGTTCCCGCGATCGCGCATGCGCAGACTATGGTTTATGCGTTCTGTAAACGGATGGTCGCCTATGCCTAGAGCTTTCGTTCCGAATTTCTCTCCTTAAATGCCTTGCCAAGGGTACAAACTTACCGTCAAACGCTTTACACGTGATTTTGGTTTCACTTGGACGTACTTTTTGTTCGCATTAAGCACAAAAATCCACGTTTATCACTGGATAAGTAATGCAGCCAGCTCCGAACCGTCGTTGTGCGCCCATCAACGATGGCGAATAGCTGCTTTGCTTGCTTTGCTCAAACTCCATTTTCTATGTGGGTACCCGAATGAGCCGAACATAGCTTCGGCAATTTTCGGCAGCGAAACAGAATTTAATCGGGCAAAAACAATTTTTCGAATATCGTATAGACATAAAATACTTAGAAAATTGCAAAAAATTTCGCAATTATATTATTTAGGCTCGCTAAGAAAATGAAACGTAAATAAATATAACGTTCCCTAATATATATATGGATATGTGTATGTATCTATAGATATATGTAAATACTTAACATTTTTCAGTCATTTATACATATTTGTATACTTTGAATACTAATAGGAAAGATGTAAGCAACGAGTACTGATTTATGCATGTGTTATACATCACTGAAGCAATTAATAAAATTTAATTCTGTAATTTAATACTTACTTGAATAATTTAATCACAATATTTTCGTGGAAATTCACTTATGATTTTAAAAGATACGTAAAAATATCAGTTTAACCGTGATCAAATTACTACTTCTATTTTATATCATGAAACGTATGATAAACCAATAAATAATCAAAAATGTTCCTCACTTGTCAAAATAAAAGTGATATAATTACATTACATTTAATATATTTCTATAAACACTAAAATAATTATGTGATTATTTTAATATGGTTAAAATTCGTAAAAAATACACTAATTTCTTCCGTTTAAGTCAGATACATTAGATTCGAGACGAGCACAACTGACACAATTTTAAATCGCTAACGATGCAAACAGCAAATTAGAATGGAACTGCGCGCGACGAAATTTTAATCATCCAATGGCAGCATTGGCGGCAATTGCAAAATTTAAAAAACAGACTAAAGTAATTGTTTTATTTAATTTTAAGTTAAATTTAACGATAATATAATCTTTTTAAGTAGAAATAAATAAATCAAAATTATTTACATCGTTTATGAAGTAAAAATTTGAAATGTAATTTTAAGCAACACAGTTTATATATCTGTCATTTGTTAAAAAGTCTGGGTTTTTATTGGTTCGCGTTGCTTTGCAACAAATACCGTGCAAAATGATATGCGAACCCCATTACAAACGCGGCGGGTTTCTCGTTCACTCGTAATTTTTAATCATTCCGCGAACGCGATTTTTTTGTGATAAAATACGCTGTTTTCGTTTTAAAAAAAAAATTACTGAACCTTTCCGTACACAGTGTTATAGTATTAGATCGAATTACAATTATGCAACAACATATTCAAAACGATTCGCAGAGAAAAAATTTTTTGTTTGAACGATTGAATTTGAATCGACGAGCTCCCTCAATACTATTTGAAAAATGGGAACACGATCAAGTAAAATGTTCCAATTCATCAACAAACCTGTCGCAGGTATCGTTCTAATACGAGTAACAATTTATTGACAGTGTATTAGGCAATTAATTAATAAAAAAATTTATGTTTACGTATATTTTTTAATAGTTCAATTTGTCTTGTAAACAATCGTTCGAAAATATATCTAATTCGTTTTATACGCCACCGATGGAAAAAGGATTTATACCAACTCCAAAAGCACCCGTGAAGTATAAAAAGCAACCTAAGAAGAGAGATCTAAAACCAAAAAAGTTACATTACAGTGACGATGAATTGGATACCTCAAGCGTCGTAGATAGCGGCATTCATATGCAAGTTGACCAATCAAATAATACGTTGTTCTACCAGCAACATAATGCTACATACAATAGGTCTGATTCTTCACAAAAACAATTACATAGATTACGTGGCAAATTAGACAGAGTTAATGTACAAACAAATGATAAAGAAAATGATAAGAATGTTATAGGAAACACGTCCGCAAATATATCGAACAACAAAAATAACGTAGCACAAAAATCTTCTGTAGGTAGGTGTACAAAAAGTGAAAAAAAATACACGCACACGTCAAAAACTAAAAATATAGATACCAAATGCAAATTAACTCATTTTCGCGTATAGCAGTGTACGTTAGCTGTTAATTTAATTATAAGTATGTTATCATTAAGGGAAGATTGTAATAGGATTGTATATGATGCTATTTTACAAAGTGACAGATTTGTAATGAGTAAAATTTATGCAAATTTAAAATGTGTACAGATGTTTTAATAGATTAATGTATCATTGAAATGATACTTCCTTATTCTTCAGTATTCAATCCAAATGCAGAAGTTTTATCGTTATATGATACAAATCTTAATTGGAAAGAGAAATTATATTGGCTACAGCCTAGAAGAGATGTTGGTTTATGGATTGAGTGCTGCAGAAAAAAATGTAAAAAATGGAGATATGTTGAGGACTATCATGATCCACTTGATGTACCTGAAAGATGGTATTGTGAAATGAATTCTGGTGTGTAAATTTTTCTTTGTCATTTTATGTTGTATGCATGTGTGCACGTGTGTGTGTATGTGTGTATATATATATATATACACATGAGCATTTAATATCATTATATGGGTCCACAGATAAATCAATAGCATCCTGTGATATATTAGAGAATCCTAAGTCACTTGCCATTAAGACTGACTTAATTGAAAATAAGTACAATGCTGGTAGCATTGTCTGGGCATATATTAAAGATTTTCCATGGTGGCCAGGTATAATTAATGATTGTCCTGAAACCTTTACATACTATAAATTGCCTAAAAATTCTCTTAAACCTGTAAGATTATAATTTACTTTGCATTGACACAGTTTTTTCGCACAGAATAATATTGTAATACATATTTATATAATTTGTAGATCAGATACTATGTTACATTCTTTACTGAGGGAAAACTTGAATGTGCCTGGATTCATAAGCGAAACATTAAACCATTTGTATCACATAATTACAATGAACTTATTAATGAGGTATTTAATCTTATCTAGTCTAATTTTACTAATTTTACTATAAATAACAATGCATTTTATTCTAGACAAAATTTCATGGCATTGATTACGAACAACGCTTACAGAAAGCCTATAATACTGCTGCAAATGCACTTTCATTATCAATTTTAGAAAGATTAAAGCAATTCAGTTTTGTGGCACAATATGAAAAAGATCACGATATTAACAATAATTTAAGTCAATCAATTAACAATATCACAAAACCAGATATTCTATCACAAGTGGATACAAATTCAGATGATGAAATACCTTGTTCAAATCCCATTAGAAGGCAATTTACGTTAAAAGAGTACTATTTAGGAGTATTGTGTAAAAGTCGAGATACACTATAAATAACATTTAGAATTAATTTGTCATATAAACATGATAATAAATACATTGATATTAGAAATTAATATAACATTATTATTTATGTTTATACTGATCAAACGTTATTTAACACAATCATAGTTTACACTGTTAGTCCAAGTCACGAGAAATAAAGAATACAACTTGTAAATTTATTTTTCGTATACTGGTCTTTATGTTATACCGTACTGCGTATCAAATGTAAAAAGTACAATATGTAAATTGATCAAATTATCTACCGTACAATTACCGATCGAGTGTTAGTCCAATTCCTTATCTAATTCCATGAATAACCGCATTGTGGCAGCACTGAAACAACATGCGATACAATTAACTTTATGATAAATATTTTAATTATAACATTGAAATATAATTAAAAAATATTTACTTCGGCATTTACTATTTTTGAATCTTTTTATTTATATTTCTAAATTTATAATTTTATGCTGAAGAAATTTAAATATTTTAACAATTGCTTTGTCTTTTGGTCGAAAAAATGATGAATAATCTTCGATTGAGTCATAACATATTTTTATTTTATGAGCAATTAAAGTTAATAATCTATCATCGATCGCTAATACGTCGGTAAGGTTGTAACATTTTCTAGCATATTCCGTCATTCCTAGCGGGATAAGACGATTATCCCTTGTTATTCTACAAACAATAAGATTCAATGACAGATTGTGAATTAATTAAAATACGTTTTCATTGCTGGTTATTGACAAGTTGCAACATATTTTTTTAGAATCATCATATTGGGGCGACGAATTTCTACGGATCACTGTCGAACAGCTGTAGACGGTAATTAATACGAAAGTATTCAATATAATCTAATGATTCTGGTTACCAACCGACTTCATTTCTTCGTAACCGATGTCGTTGCTCGATTAGAATCGTTTTTCCGAACGGAAATCGAACGTACATAAACGTTTGTAAATCGATATGTTAATATAGCGCAAAGTTCGGCGGGGTCGTCAGGTCAATGTGACGTCAGCGGATACGGAGACCCTCGACGTGGTAAACTGCGACAATATTTGCGTGTAAAGTGTTTCTCGGATGTAGATGTAGTATGAACATAGCCAATATATATTGGCGTGCAGCGGTATCTCTTGTTTATTTCAGAATTATATCGGAAACAAGTTAACACGAATACAAGTAATTGATCATTCCTGTAATTTCTGTTTTTATTTTCTATGCTTAATGTAGATAACACGTGTTAACGAGAAGCAGACATGAGTTTTTTAGGTTAGTTAAACAAGAAGAAGTAAGAATCTAAATGTGTTTCAATCTTCACGTTGCTATCATAGAGGGTGCTGAGGACAATAAGTCGTTTGAAGGAAGTTTATATATTTTTTTTAATTTTGCAATTTCTTTATCAAAGATGAAAGAAAACAAGTATTATTTTTTCAGTGCTAAGAAATTATTAACATTTTCTTTTTTATTTATTTTAGATAATTAAAAGGAGGAAAGAAATAGGAAAGGTAGAACAGAATAAATTGGTCTGGATGGTTGAATAGTGGCAGTTCTTCCGATGACCTATGGTCCATTCTCTGATCCTTCACAGTTAATATTCCCTCCCGTTGGCTCCAGGATGGAGAAAAAAAACGATAACCCCAGATACGGTGGCGGCCACATACGTGCTTGTTATCGTTCTCGTAATAGTCGGACGATCGTGTTGCTAACCGAGGTATACTCGGGTTATCTGGCCTGTTTGTCCTTCGCTACAATTTTGTTACGTTTCTTCGCGTTTTTTTTCGCATGTTCTCTTGCTAGGATCGCTCATTAATTCACCTCCATAATCGTCAACTATCACTTATACGTAGTTTTTGTTTTTTTCAACTTGATTTTATCACGTTGCCAGTTTACATGTTCATTACATTAAATGTACGTGAAATTCACTGTTAATTTTTCAAAATGTTAAAATGATTTCAATATAGAGTAATAATAAAAAGGTGAATTGTACATTTTTCGACGTATAATTATTTAGTTCATCATTTAATAGATAACAATGTTATTTGTTACTTTGATATAATTATTTTTGGACATGTTTCTATTTATCGAAATTTCGTGTATATATGTATGCACTTATGTATATTTAATGCATTTTCAGTGGCGGGGCCAATGTAGCAAGAAATATCGAGGAATCCGTAGAATTTGCCACGTGGAAAATCTATTTTTTTGCTATTTCTTAATCGTGTCCTCGAGTGAGTCTCTTAGGCGTCATTTCTACAGGAAAAGTACAAAGGAGAATGAAAAATCCGTCATAACCTATTCGCAATCATCAATCTCGGTGATTGGAACTTATTTTTCGTAAGTATCGCTAAGAATGTTTAACTACAATATAACGTGTTATTGCCTGATATTTTTATCATACTCACTTTGTCGAATAATATGAAACTAACTGTCTGATAATTTCAGATGGCAGCACATTCGAGTCGTGTGATTTTTCATTAAAAGTTCATTAGTATTCTGACCATTCCTTGTGCATGGGCAATATAGAAAAGGAAGATCCTATAGCCCGAAGCTAACCTTCGTGAAAAGGCAAGATACGTGTTGCTCGAAGCGAATGTGTTAATAAGAGTCAGTTTGGCTGTCGTAAATATTGCCTTAAAATGGCCAAAACGTATCAAACGGATAAAGAATATCAGGCAATGTTTTATCATACGATAAATCCGGTTTATCGTTCGTGTTCGCGATCCGTTCCGTCACGTCGTTTAAATCAATTCTGCTGATGGCCGATGCAACATGATACCACAACGGAGGGCCATTTTAATTACCGTTAATGAGCGTTCCGGTCATTGAAATACGTTTCCTTTGGCAATGTACACACAAAACGGCTGGATACGCGGGATGATGCTCGTAAAGGAGACATTTATTGGTCGTAAAGGCATGCTGGCTGCATCTTATGCAGTTTGGACGGTGCTTGAAAAGCAGAGAACTCGTCTTTCTGGCTATCGTTTCCAACATGTTTAGGAACCATCATATGACAATGGGGGCGTACGTAGTTGACAAACATGGGAGCGGCGTATTGGATCGATGGCAAAAGGAATTACAAAAAAAAGGGGGGAAAGACAGAGAGTTGGGACATAGTGAGGAGAATATACCTTGACTCGTCCTTTCCACCTAACCTTACACGTATTTCACTCAATTTATACCTAGGCGTGGCCTATGTGTTCCTTTGCTTCTGTGAACTATCGTGCTTCCGGTATAATCGTCAGGTAGAATAACGCCATGGATGAAATTATCGATGAATTAAGCGAGGAATCAATTCTCTATCGATCCTGGAGGAAATAGGAATTCGTATGTAACGTTATCTTTCTTGAGTAAAACTTTATTTAGTTTCAAAAATATTTGACTTTCCCCTTGTACTAATTAGTAAAAACTTTTACAGTCTAAATGAGAGGTTAATGAGCTTCGGAAGAATGCCAGAGGAACCATGGGACAGAACTAACAGTTGGACGAAAATCCCGATGTTTCAACATAAGTGCCGAAAGCATTGATTAGGAGAATACCTCAACAATAGCAATCGAAGAAAGAAAGAGGGATGAAGAAACGATCGAACTAGTTGCACATTCGCTTTTGCATAATTTCATGGTTCCTGATTTCGCGGCCAACCGAGCGAAAAACTATAACGATGCTCCGGTAACGCCATTTCTAAATGCGTCTCTGGAAACGCGCCCCGAACAGCCCTCCTCTAACTAAATGTGACTTTAACGAGCAGTTTGAGGAACGAGGAGAACGGGGAACGACCTGCGTGCGGATTCGGGCGCGGTCAATGCCGTCTAGATGCTCGCTATTACTATCCGGACCGCCTGGTATTTTCGTCATGGCCTACTAATACACTCCGCAAATTCTCGCCCTACCACGGGGGCCACCGTTCGACGATGACGTCGTGAAGGAAATATGCCGATCGTGAGCAGTGTCACTGACCGTGATGGCCAATTTCTTCGCTTTTTATTCTTTGAAATCGAGCCAACCGAGCCTGTTGCAGCCTCTTCTTTGCTAGATTCGAGGTAGATTCAAAGAGAAGAGTTACTACTCGATTTGGCTTTGACCGTTAGTTGTATAGGTTAGAATTCTTACATGGTTTGTCCGTTTTAGATATTCAGAAGCGTTATTCCAAAAGTTTCGGAACAAATTTCTCGGAAGGAAAGATACGTCCCCGATTGCCAGCTTTGGTAGGTTAGTTCGTGATGGTAACCTGTTTTCTTAACTTTTACTCTTCCTCATGAAGAACTTCGAATTTTCTAGCTTGGCGTAACGAGGGAAGCGGCATGCTAATACGTTTAGTGGGCAACCAGGAGCACAATGGACACGGCTAAATATTCAGAGTTCGGCCTTCCATATATTCATGACCGTCATCTTTGTAGAGAAAAAGAAAAGGCAGATGTATTTGCATCTGAAAGATGAACGATTTGTGGGACAGGAAGCTTTTCAATACTCTGTTTCTCAACGATATATGTTGACCATCATTCACCGATGGATGCCACCTTTAGAAAAATTGCATTTAGCGTTTCACAGAGTGGAGTTATGGTTACAATTTATTCCGAAACGCGTTATTCATAATCGATAGTCATTCTTCATTGCGAAACGCCACTATCATGTAGAATGTGTCCTGAAAACGATCCAGGAAAATCAAGTGATTACGCCATCTTCCTACTTTCAAGATTATGCTTTGTGAAAAAACATACCGAGAAGCTTTTAATTTATAGCACTTTTTTGTTTGAAGAAAAACGTTATCTACGTTCGGTAGGCTACATAGATAAAGGTTCCAAAGTTAATTTTCTACTCCTTAGTGAAAAACTATTATTATCTACATCTCATCATGGTTACCAATATGTATAAAGTCGATGATGCAATATCAACTGTATATTAGTTCCTCCACGCATCGAACATTATCTGTTCAACTCATTATCGATATAGCGCCACCCTCGCCCTATTTCGTAAGTTTTCAGAGCGATAAAATTTTTTGAATTTGGGACACGAGAAAACAGGGTCGTTAGGTCATTTCTCGCTGATAAGATATTACTAACGGAGAATATAAGTGCACTCGTTACATAAACGGTACAGCTGTGAACGGGATGAGATTTCATCTAACAAGTTATACTACATAGAGGAGGCGATGTACATCATTATTGCAACGGATCGAACTGATTCAACACGTATTATCACGGCTAGTAATCGAAAGAGATAAAGAATTCTGTCACAATCTCCCATGGTCATGATATGTGTATATATATATATAGTTGATAATTAAGTGATCATTGCTTTTCCTCGCGATTACTTTTCCTTTTCTTCAGAATATCAAATGTAATGAGAGTTCATAAGGTAAAAAGGATAAATGGCTTGCAGCGCAACGCGTTATCAGCCTTGAACTCGGTGACGAAGCATTCTGTGCCAACGCGGCGTAAAGTACAGCGATACGATTTTATTTGCAACTCTAACGTTACCTTCGATGACTGGCGAATTAGTATGAATTTACTATTTCACGGGCGTATTAGTTCCATTTCATAGAGTGCAAAGTTATAAAATAATACTTCGAATCGTAATTTCTCGTAGATATCGGTGACATTCTGATATTATTTTGGTCCTTAGAGATTCTAATTAAAGCATAAAATTTTATATTGGTAGTATATGGTAGTTACCAACAATCGATTCGGCAAAGTGTAATTTATTCTACAATTGGAACGAAGGAGTTAATTAATAGAACACGGTAGCATTGCGCGAACGCAGTCATCGTCGGTGCCCGCCACCTGCATCATTCGCGGGGTGCGTCAAGCCGCATCCCCGCTCCTGGTAACGCGCGAGCCACACCCCCCACTACGCTTCCGTCGCTCGGTGGAACGAACGCACTCTCACGCACGTCGGCTGTATCCCCACTACCAGGCGGCGCGATGGAAACGCGCACCCGTGACTGGCGGAGTTCTCGCCAGCCTCCGCGCAGCTTAGTCCGCGTCGCTCGTTCCACTAGTTTGGATGACTGTTTGCATTCAAATTATTCGACAGTTCGTTCAGTTTCGTGCACGACGGTCATTCCGCTGGTGCAACGGAGTTACTTTAGTCGTGGTTGTCGTCCCTGGTCGTTGGTTTTCGTTAGTTTTCGCCCCGTGAACAGAGTTTATAAAGTCTATTCGCGATCAAAACGTAACGAGGAATACGCGTCATCGAATGATGCCGGTTCGCTTACATCCTCTCGCACACACGTTGACGAAAGGGGAAGGAAGTCTACACTTGTAAACGTCTCTCCGTTCGTCCCCACTTCCCCGGATTTTCGGTTTATATCCTGTTCGAAGGCTCTTCTTCACCTTTCGTAGTTCGTTTCTTATTTCTTCACATTCGTCCTCCATCGTGTACCACGCTTCCGGCTGACAGTGCGGTTTTTGAGCCTGCGCGACTCGGGAGTATAATCCTTCCTTCTCCTGTGCGATTCTCAGTGATCTGCGAATCTCCTGGCGAATCTATTTCTTTGAGTCTCCTCGTTGATAGCATGAAAAAAGTCGGCGCCGGGTCATCGTGCACTTTGGTCGAAAGTACATCACGTCTCGTATCTGGAATGGTGCACCGGTCTTCCTGTACGCCCTACACGTTTTACTTCAACGAAGGATCGATCGAAGACTTTGCAAGGATTTGGTTATGAAATCACAACGTCGTCAACGATAATCGAGTACTACAGAAAGATTCTCAGACGTTCTGCGTTTGGTGAGTGAAAATTTTACTTTCAATTCATAGCTTCCTGTTTCTTCTTTTCGCTTACAGATTAATTTATCCTAATTCGTTACGAGGTATTGTACATATCTAGAAACAAATTCTAATAGTTCGATATATTTCTATAGGGTAATTAGTTTAAGAAGATAGATTAACAGTTTCATTCGTTAGGATTCTTTCGAAACCATTGATTTATCGATAACCATGTCGCGTCGGGTAGCTGTGTAATTATATAACGCGCGTAATTTGAACATAGATACCACGTGTCTACACTTGTGTTACTATTTTTATTTCCTTTCACCATTTCTTTTTTTATCCACTTAAGTCGTTTGATTGAGGTAAAAATAAAGCTTCTTTTCCGTAATATAGTTATAGGTTATATCTTTCACGATATTTCTTAAGAATATGCGTATCGCTACTTGAAACCGTTGGTCATTTCGAACACGAGGAACGCTGGAAATGGGTAGGCGGGTGTCGTTAGACACGGACACGCCCATTGGTTGGGCTCATCGTCATCCGTGCGTTTCGCGAAGCCTAATTAAATTAAACGCTTTGTAGTGGTTTTCTAAGGTCGTTTGGTGTCGCTCCATATTTGGCCGTCTAAGAAGCACATTTTGCCGTTGGTGGATTCGCGTTCCAATATTTTTTCCTCTGTTTCTTTCCCTCCCAATTATTCGAGTATGATCTGGTCGAGCTATTATTAGATCAGTTTCGGTTGGTATCGGTAGGGGAAGAAGGGAGAACATTATTAAGAGGATTGCGAGTTGACTTCGTGTTACGCTATTCGATATGTAATGTATCGACGATTGAATTTTTTTTAAACAATTCCCAAACACGTTTCGTACTTAATCCTGTGTCCGTTAAATTTGAGGTTATTTCAACGATAAAAATTGAGAAATGTTCGAAGTTTGAAATTACGAGTATTATTTATTTAAACAATCGGACGTGGAAAGTTTTAAACGTGAGCAAGTCGAACTGTCCGAATGGTC